TAAAGAAAATATTTAAATGTTATAAAAATAAAATTGTTTTTTTATTAAAACATCAAAACCAATTATAAAAAAATAAAATTTTACTTTATTTATTAATTTCACTATTATCATCCTCATCTTCAGATTGTCTAAAAATTGAATTATTAAACATAGTTAGTGATTTCATAAAAATAAAAAAAGGGTCAGCCTCCTTATATCTATAGCAGAAACAGAAGAAAGAGAAATGACTTTGCAATAATTCCAATGTAGTCCCCCTTCTATTTCTCATAATAGATAATTTGGCTTTCCCTCATACATTCTCAATTATTTGAGTATGGTATTGAGTCTCTGGGTTAATAAAAACTTCGAATGATTCACTGTAAAGTGTACTTTGAAGTTTTCATTGACCCTACCATAAGCCTTCCAGTAGTCAATATGAATGGTAGATTGGGAGTGTACACGCTCTTTTAAAATAGGAATGAGCGTTTCTACATCCCTTTTGTTTACAACCTGAATGTAAACATCTCTGATTTTATCATTCATAAACCCGAACACCCAAGGACCTTGAACTCTGTCACCATAATTATTTCTCTTGTTGAGATTTGACTTCAATCCTAAGAAGTCTTCCTACATTATTCTTTCGATGACCACAAAACAACATTTCATCTACTTGAATTATATGCTTCTCACCTCCTATTTGTTTAGATGTAATAATCCAATGGGTTACTTCTCTAATATAATTAGTCCAGATGATAATTGTCTTATCTCCTGTTATTCTTGAATTAGTTTCATCTCACGATGTGGCTGATCTTTAAAATAACAAAAGATGAGCTTTACTATCTTTTGAACTGGTATTACAACCCTGCTTTTACCCTTTTTTTCACAAGAAAAGAATGTATTTTTAAAGAGAGACCACTCTTTATTACAGGGTCTGCAACGGAGGAGGAAGCTGTCACAGTACTTCTTTCTTCTCGTCCTTAGGAATGTGGGTCCTTTGCAATACATGCATCGCCATTCGCCCTTGGGTGGTAGCACACCCCACTCTACCATTTTATTTAAAAAATATTATTATCATTTAATATAATTATTAATTCTTCAAAATTCAGTGGTTTAAAAAATGTAAAAATTTTGTAAAAATTTTTCATGTTATATATTTTTTAAAAACCTTTATTTAATTAACTTTTTAATTTTTTTAATAAAAAATTACTTTGGCCCAATTGAAGCCTGGGGCCTCGTATCGAAAAATTCTAATATTCCTCCTCATGGGGGCCCAAACTCAGTTTGGGTTCCAATCGAAAAAATACCGAAATAACTAATTAAAGTTAAATGAACAAATCTTATGAATTTGCAATCTTCTATAAAAAACGATTCAAAAACTGAATATTGCAGATATAAGTATTTGTAAAGTATAAAGACATTCAAATAAAGGATGTTGTTTCGATTGGTGGATCAAGATCGAATTAGCGCTCTATATTTTATATATATAAAAATTCTAATAAAATTTTTAAAATATATAACCCTTATGATTTATAAAACATTGATGCAGATTTTGGGGGAGGAAGAATATTTTGAAAATTTTTTAAAAATAATAGGAAAAGGTAATTAATAAACTTTATTATTATTTTTTTATTTATTCAAGAACCCCTACCCTTTAAGGAGTAGGTGTTGTTGAATAAATATTTTTAATCTTCTTAAAATTTTACTGAAAAAAATTATTTATATATAATTTGGGCGCATAATCGATCATGGGGCGCCTATCGAAACGGTACTCTTGCACGGTTTAAGAACTGTTCATTTGATAAATGTTTTAAAGATTTGTTTGTTGTAATCATAATTTATTTTTAGGGGATTTCCTTTAAATATTTTAAAGGAAAATTTATAAATGATTGAATGATTAATTTATAAATCAATTCGTAGTAACGTAAGATTTTACACTACTATAGAAGAAATCAAAGTTTTGGCCTCACCTCATCAAATTTTTACCGCTTAGATTTACCCTTTTTACTATTTCTTCAGTACAAAATTTATATTTATTTATATTTATTGAATTTTTTTTATTTTTTGCTTTTCTTTGATATCAATAACCTTATCAGCTGTATAAAACTACTAATGATTGTGTTTAAAACACTAATAAAAGATCTTTCATCTTTTCCTTTATAAAGTTTTGTATGACTTCATCGGTAAAATAATCAAGCATTGTAATAGCTGTTTATCAAATTAACCATGTGTTTTCTGTGTTCTAAATATCTGCCTCTTCTAATCAAGTATATTGTAATAATCATTGATATTAAAGTTTATAACTTCTAAAAAAAGACTACTTATACATATGTAACCTTGATTTTTAATTGTAATTTATTATTTTTTTAAGATTATTTAGTTCTCATTCTGCACATTAATATCATTGTTTTGGTATAAATTCAAGCTGACTTTGACAACAATGTTTAATTTACTAAAATTGTTTTTAATCATAATTAATTTACTGTTTTTATTAATATACAATACTGTTCAAAAGAATGTGACCTATAAAATTTTTAAAAATCTCATTATATAGTTTATAGTTAAATTTTTTCACAACATTATATATTTTAATAATTAAAACAACTAAATTCAAAGAAAATTATATTTTATACAAAGATAAAAAATTAAAAAATGTGCTAAAAAGTGTGACGAGAATAAATTTAATATTTAGTGTTATAACCATTTGCTTTATACACCATTAAACACCTTTTTTGAAAACCAACTATCTATTTTTGTGTTAAATTAGTTGGTATATTATACAAAATCTTTTTATTTTTTAAATCATCTTTTATAACTTACCAATTTGGTTGGTTTATACTCTACAAGAGCCTTTAATATCTCAATAAAGTTTTGATTTAGATTTGAATGTTCACTCTAAAACTTGTGTTTTTATAATCTACCCATTTAGAAACAAGTCTTAAGGTATGTTTAATATCATTATTAATATTGGGATAATTATTTTTAGACAATTTTTATAAATAGTTTGCTTTAAATTATTACTTTAAAGTTTCTTATACATCGCAATCGTCATTGTTTCTTCAATAAAAACAATTATACTAACCCTGCTACAAAAGAGATAAAAAAACCATTATAAATTCTTTACCTTATGTAGTTTAAAAAGTTGAAGTTTTAGATTTGTACCACATGATAAAAATAATAACACAAAAACTTTATTAATCGTTATTAAAAAATTAATTCTGTATTTTTCAGAAAAAAATTATTGTTTAAAGGTCTTGTATAAAATTTCAAATCTTTTTTTGAAAAGCAAAGTTTTTTCTATATTGATGAATCCCAAGAGTGACTTTTTTACTAGTTTGGTAGTAAATAAACCGAAATCAGATAAAATTTCTGTCTTGGTTTGTCTTAAAATTCATAAATTAAACTTTTCGACAAATTTTTTATCTTTAGGCAAGATTCTTTATAATTTTTATCATAAAGCAAGAATAATTGAGATTTTAATACATCAAACAATATTTCTAGTCGTCTTAAAACAAATTTCTTTTCCTAATGATTTTTCATTCTTTATTATATTATTCTCAAAAGTTTTACTAACTTGTCTTTTATAAGCTACATCTATTTAAAATAATCTAGGTTTTAAATTGTCTTTAATTAAAACTTTATGTTTAATACAATGTGATTAGTCATGGAAAACAATTTTAAATTATTTAAAAATCGATTTTAATAAAAAATTTATTTCTGGTCACGTTTTTTGGATAGCTTTTTAAAAAAGATTTAATGAAGTTTTCTTTTATATAAAATTAGTATTTATTCTTTGAATTTAGTTGTTTTACTATTTAAATGTATACTGTAAATAAAAAAATTTAAATATATAATGTGATATTTAAAAAAATAAAGTTTATGTAATTTTGAGTAATATAGTATTTAATATTAAAATGTTTTAGTTTTGTAATATAAAAATTTAATTATTGTGTGATACTTGATGAAATTTGTAAGTTAATAATGTTGATGATATCAAGTTTTAAAGCTTCAATCCGAAACCAATTAAACAAACTAAAAAAATATATTCCAGTCAATTATTTTTCTTAGTAATTTATCTTTCTTATGTAAGCATATATTCACCTTTTTATCTATATTTAAAAATATCATATGTAACTAGCAATGCTGCTATATTTGGTTAATTTAATTCTTTTGAAAAATCTGTAAATAAAAAAACTTTTATTATTTTACACAGATATGCTTTAAGATTTTTTATCTTAATATTAATACAAGAACTACTACTGATTAAATTGTGATGTTTTGGATCTACAACTATTTATATCAAATCATTTTGTTCATCAGTACTTATGATCTTGAAGCGTCTAATAGACAATTTTAATCAATTAATCCATTTCAAAAAATATAATTTAGAAATTTTAGTAAGCATGTTGACATGCAATCCATGTAAAATACTTCCTGTTTAAAATAAATTTAAAATTTTTTTATTCCTTTGTTATTGTCTATTATAAAATTTTTAGATCAATATAATAATTTTTGCAGCTATTCTAATAACTTTACAGCTAATTGGATAAAATAAAATTCTCACGTTTACTTTACAATCAGTTAAATAAGTATTACTATCAATTGAATAATTTAACCGTTATTATTATAATTTTGTAATCATTTGAACAATTGTTGCAAGTGATTGCGTATAACAGCTGATAAAACATGGTTTGTTTAATTGATATAATAATCATTACAACCATTTTAATAACTATTACAATCAATTACATAATCACATTTTCTTCAGAATTTACAAAGATATTGAAAGGAATTAAAATATTAAAACATATTTATTTTGAAATGATCTCTCTTACAGCAGATCTTATTTAACATCCTAGATTTTTCTAAAAAATGACCCGCATTGACTAAAAATTATTTTATCAAAAGATTCCACAATAAGAAGTCTCAATTGAGATTCGTTAAAAGCACCTCCATGAACAATTAAATTTTAAAACAGAAAGGATGTTTTCTATTAGGTTTAGAAAAAGTGAGTAAAAGGGTAAATACTTTAGAGTGTACTAAGAAAGTTCACTGTCTTCCATGTTTTCCCTTAATGATATGTTCTGATATTATCTATTATAAAAATAAGGAGGTCTATTCTTTTTTCTATATATCCAGCCTTTAATTCTCGTAAAAAACTTTTAAAACCTTCACCGTTTACTGCCCTTTCGTAAACTTTATGGAAGTTTATTTTATATTTGTTCTTGCAACCACAACAGAAACATTTCTGCTTGTGTTAGTACAGTGAGGTATGTGGATTGATCTATAAAATATCTACCTCTATTTAAGCGTGTCACTGCCGAAAACTCTATCTCATCCAGAAAGACAACGTTTTATCTTTATTCTCTGCTCCTAAAGTACGCTATTCACACTCAAAACCACTCTTTGTTTAAACAGTGTTTTGACTATTTTGACATTCAGGAACTAGTGTAATTCGTTTTAAGGTGTATTTGAATAGATGAAGACATTTATAATCATGTTTATTAATACACTGATGTGGTAAGTCTCAATGGTTTTTATTCTTAAATATTTTACTCTAAGAATAGGATCATCATCTATTTAGGTAAAATTGCTTCTTTAATATTAAAACTAAATTTAGAATGACTATCGCCACTACGAGATTATAATAATACCTTATTGGAATATTTTAGCTTTTACCAATACTATTTATAGTTTGGTAAGATATTACTGACATATCTTTTAAAACACAAACCTTATGATCTTCAAGTGACTTAGTCACTATTCTTTGTTTTTCATCATTAGAGACAAGTTTAATTAATTTTACCGATTGTTTAATTACCTTCTTCTACTGTGTTTTTAATTTTTACGTAATTGTTAAATTTTATAAATTCATAATATGAAAATTTAAATAATTTTTGTTTAATATATTGTAAATCCTAGAGAAAATATGATTATACAATCAATTATAGTAGTTATTTAAATAACCACAACAATTATTATATTGATAGAAAAATCTTTTATGTCTTTATGTCTTCAAGTGTTTAATCTCTTAATGGTAAGCAAGGTGTATAATAATTCATTTGAATAATTTTGACAAAAAATACATGTTTTTTTAATAAATAAAGTTTAATTTATGAGACGTTTGAAAACAAATCTGTTAAAATTAATTTTTATATGGATTTAATTTTTTTACAAATTTATAAGTTTTTTTTATTTTAAAAAATGTTAACATATAAAAATAAAAAATAAAAATTTTATATAATACCTTTTAAAAATTATAATTAG